TTCCTGGGTATGGACCCACCGCAGGCGCGGCTTTGACGAACCACCCTCGTGTTGACAAAATTGCCTTTACAGGGTCTACTGAGGTAACATTCACAGTAACAACACAAGATCGCTTTTATACGCTGTGTTCAACAGATTTCTCTACCGTCATCGATAGTTTGTAAATCGGTTTTCATTATCGAAAAAACCTCTGAAAATATATCGTCCCTCTTATCCTCTTCAAAAGAACGCAGGATAACAACATGTACGAACACGTATTTTGGCAGAGGAATGCCGCGGTAAAAGTCGTATCGTAATTTTAAATGTCTTTAAAATGATTCAATCATTTCTTCGCGTTATCGTATGAGTTTTTTTTAGGTGTGGTAATCGTATTTTACACTGTTTTATAATTAGAAAATTCGATAATACTATCATGTACGCGTAACCTGCCACTCAAAACAAGCAATAATTCAATGATATGCCAAAATATTGTTGATAACTTTAAAACTTTCGATAATTCTTGAATTTTTCGTCACAAATAGTTATCTTGTTATATAAAACAATGTAATATACAATTTAAGGAGCATATATGTATTACATGTTAATTATTTACGTTTTACAGGTCGGACGTATAATAATGAACAATGCTGCAGCAACGAATTTAAAGAGAATAACTCTTGAGCTCGGTGGAAAGAGCCCCTTAGTCGTTTTCAATGACGCTGACGGTTAGTATACTCAAGCTTATAAATCAAAAAGTAAATAAAACAAATAAAAACGCCTGTTAATTATCAAAACAGTGGACACTGCCGCTCAAATTGCCCATCGCGCTGCTTTCGCTAATGCCGGACAATGCTGTGTTGCGGGCACTAGGACTTATGTACAGTCTGGCATCTACGATAAGTTCATTGCAAAAGCAGCAGAAATAGCAAAGAACAGAACTGTCGGTAACCCTTACGAAGACGTACAACAAGGACCACAAGTAACTATACATATACCTCTTCTAATCCTACAGTATGCCCAAATTTGTATTCAGCATGCGTAATGATGACCAACCATATGTCTTCTTCTATCTTACTATTTATTTGTTACGTGATGTACTAAGCTTCGCTAGGATATAATATAATCTTTACGTGATACCATTTGCATGTATACGGCCGTTTCTTAATGTTAGCACTACAATATTTTAGTCTTAACTGACTGTCAATATTAATTCTGCAGAAAACTATCGTGCAGTGTATGAGCCCGTCTAAAAATGTAATTTAGGCGGGTTCTTCCATTCAGAACTGGGCCGTGTTTCTACCGAGATATAGTGATTTTAAAACATTCAATAATGTAATAAAATACTGCCTATTAAATTTATTTTTGTATTAGATCGACTTGGACATGTTTAACAAAGTGATGGGCTACATAGAAGTGGGCAAGGAGTCCGGTGCGCGCTGCATCGCGGGCGGCAAGCGGCAA